ATTATTTAAAATAAGGTAATCTAAGTGCAATTGCATTATTTGTTTTTATATGTAAAGTAAAGTCAATTCTAATAATTTTCTTTGTTAAATTATTAGAGTAACTGCAAATGAATGTACTAATAAGAGTAAGTAATGTAATATAAAAATATTATATATGTTATTTTATTTATCTCTATTTGATTTAATTTTTTTATAGTATAATAAGCAAAGTAAATTAGGATTTCAGTATTATTTTCTAGATAAATACTACTTTTATTATTATTTTACATTAAAAATATTTTCAAAAATATCAAAAATTTGGTTTTCATCTAATAGAATATTATTGATAATAATACTAATTTCTAGACCTTTTCTTTTATTAAGAGGTAAAGTGAGAGATGTTTCAACTTTTATATCTTCAGTTATATTTTTAAAAATACTTTTATTAATATTTGAGATTTTTAGTTGTGAAATTTCAATAAACTGTTTTTTTGGTAAGATACTGATTGTTGTTAGTCATTCTTCAGTAAAGAAGAGCAAATTTTGTTGACTTATTGTTATTATTTTTTGTATTTTTTTTTGATTATTTTTGGATTAGTTTATAAAGGATTAAGTTTTATAAAATATTTTATAAACAAATTTATATTTATTTTTTTAAGAAATAATAAATTTTATTTTATATATTCTTTATATTTAAATTATATATTTATAAAATTGATTTTATAAATTAATTAAATTATTTACTTTGCAAAAGAAAAGAAGTAAAGAAAATACTAAAAAAAATTTATTTATTTATAAATTAAATATGATTTTTAGTAAAAAAATTCAAAATTTAATATTAATTCAAAAAAAATATTTTTGAAGTTTTTTCTCTTTCTACTAAATAATCGACTCTGTTCTTTTGAGAAGAAGGAAGCTTATCATCTTAAATAGATATATCAATAACTCAGGACTGTCTCCTATACTGCTCACTGACAAAGTCAATGTTAACAAAATACCTATATTGATAAAAAAAATTTAATATTTAATCTATTTAGAACATTTAGATTAAATTTATAAAATTAACTTGATTTGATATAATTTAATTTGATTTGAAATTTTTAATTATAAGAATTTGAAAATTTATTAATTTGATCAATTCATACTTTAACTTTATAAATAATTACATATATTTACCTATTAAGAGAAATCCAAATAAGCATAAAAAATTATTTTAGGATTAATGATTATTAAAATAGCAATTTTTTTTATACATTAATATTAAATTTTAATTAGAAAAGATTTTAATATTTGATAAATAAGTCAAAATTTATAAAAAAAAAATTACTATTTAGATTCAGCTCACTAAAAGAAATTTTAATTAATAGATAATAATGTTTACTCAAATTAGATCAAGACAAATAATTAAGCTCTAAAAATAAGATATAAATTAAATATAAAACTTTGTCTTATTTATTTTTTTTATTTAAATATAATCAATTTAATTAATTTAATAATCCAATAAAAGTTTGAATATGTAAATAAGTTAAACCTTTTGACGCATTCCCCTTAGGATCATAAGAAAAAGATGTGCATTTAAAAAGATCTCTTTATACTTTGTAATATCTTTTTAGTTAACGATAATGTCAACAGGTTTCATATATCCGAAATAAGAATAGAAATGATAACTAGATAGATATTTAAAGGAGAATAAAATTTTTTTGTAACACCTTAATTCGAGCTAACAAAAGATTACTTTCTTAGAAAAAATATCATAAAATCAATGTTGATTGATTATTTAAAGTAATAATTATACCAGGAAGACCCCTATCTAAAGACACAGAATAGTTATGATTTGCCCCTGAAAATTTTTGCATCGTGTTCACTTTGTCTGCATAGCAAAAAAAGCTTTTTTCATTTTTAAGACAAATCGCGTTTATTTTTCGCGTTTATTTATGACAAGGTCTATACATTTACACGCAAACTTATTCGTTTTTTACTTGTTGAATTTGAAAATATCACTACATAAATTATAACAGTTTAACACCTATACTTTTATAAGAATTATTTACAATATGCATTGGAGTGACAAATAGGAGTCATTAATCATGCGATTTCATTTTAACACGCCGTTTCCAGGACAAAGTTATTTTATCCCATGTAAATTTGACCTTTGCACTTGCGAGACTGCGGCTATAATGGAACAAAATACTTCGGCAAAACAAAGGATCCAAGGATCACCGATCAAATTATCATTATCACATTGATAAAGTTCAGTGATGCTTGAATGTCATTGGTCTGATTTTTCATTGAAAAAATTAAAATTGTAACCATTTCCTTATCCGGTTATCAGCATTTTTAAAAAAATGATCGACGCTTTGTCTAATAGAGTTGATCCATTTATTTCCTTATTTCCATTTGAATCATTTTGAATCTTGCTTTCTTCATTCATCATTTTCTGTATATCAAAATCTCTTTCATTTGAAAGGATAGTACTGCTAAACAATCCTTTTTGAAAATGGAACGTCCTGCACATAAACGTCCTTTATTAGAAGAGTCCCCATTACCTTTATCCGACTCTAATAACGTATCTGATCACCTAGCTAAACGAATCAGACTGACTTTACCGCCAATTTCTTCTTCTTTTCCACCGACAAACGCCTCAACTTCTTACTCATCATACAAACCACCCTTTCCTTCATCAATACATGAAAGTAGCAACTTTTCAATCTTACCTCCATTATCCACTACGAATTCAACAAATTTATCCATTAGTTCACCTAGGCCAATTTTTAATCATGATTTACCTCCGATTGATTCTTTATGCTCATTACCTCCCTTAAATAATTTCATTCAACAGACTGCGCCTTCAGTAAATCCGATGTCAGTATCGGCTATTCTATCAAATGAAGAAGATACATTCGTTAGGATTGATACAAATAGTAACGAGATTGCCTCGGGAAATAATAATATTGGGAATCGACATCATACTCCGCTCGATTATCGTACTCCGCTGAATACAAGTCCTGTTATCAAAGCGTCGTCCTCTCCTTCGTTGCCCACGCCTCTTAAGTTAGTTCAACCTATTATTGAAGGTATGAGTGAAATTGAAAATATGCATAGGATGCGACGGATGGAGAGAGAAAATAATATTGTTGAGAATTCATCCAATGAAAATGGAGAGGGTGACGGAATCGAAGTCGAAATTGAAGGAGAAAATGAAGGCGGATACGAGAATGAAGAGGAAGAAAGGTATGAGATGGATGAGGTAGATGAGGAAGCAACGCAGGATTATGTTGCTCATGAATATGATTATCATGACGAGCCACAAGTAATCGTTGAAAATGACGAGACTTTAAATATGGAAGGTCGAGAGGAGCGTCATTTAGGTGAGTTAATAATAAAATACAAAATAAATGATCAAGTAATATTTTAATTTAATGAAAATTACCTTTTATTTATTGAAATCTCTCATTTCAATTTAGGTCATTTGATCTACAATTCAAAAGAGATTTTACCTCCTCTTGAGTTTCATGAAAATGGACTATTGGAAATATGGATCGAGTCGAAATATTTGACTTGGCTTAATGAGAAAGTCAGAACGAACGCTTTATGGGGTACAGATGTCTATACTGACGATTCAGACGTTGTAGCAGGTATCTGCTTGTTATCGAATTATTGAATTCAATTTTTTTTTGTGCAAATTAATGATTAAATTAATTTATTTGCTAATTTTTATTTTAGTACTTATCCATACTGGCCATTATACACCTCCTCCGTCTTTGTCTGAATGGACTCCTGATTATCCTGATCATGATTTATGTGTTACGATCCGTGTTTTGCCTAAATTAGTCCAGTATACTTCAACTGTACGTGATGGATATAAAAGTCGCTCATGGGGAAATCATCATGGTGTGAGTTACAAGATTGAAAGAGTTTGCAAAATGAAGGTAAGATTTTCATATTCCCCTTGAATTGTCGTAGTTATTAATAATTTTTTATTTCTACAGAAAGGAGAAGCTATTGGCCGATCCAGAGGCAAAGGAAAAAAGGAACGGTTACGAAAATTTCACGAAATGAAAAAACGAGCATTTGGTGAAATTTTTGGTAGTTCATACGATACATCCGTTCTTGTCTTCAACAATGAAGAAGATCCTTGGTAATGTCTTATGGTTATGACTGTTTAAATAGTTTATTCTCTTGATATAATATATATTTATTATCTTCCTTTTCAGTTATAAATACAACCAACATATGATGATGGACGAAGAAGAACTTCGAAAACAACTTGAAACAAACGTTTTGTATCTTGAAAATGATGAGGAACGGTAAGTAATAATCTGATCACTGATTTTGCAGTATAACAAATATATAATTAAATAATTTTTGTTAAATTAGATACGAGATCTCATATGATGCTGAACGGAAAAAATACCGTTTTGCTATTGTGGCATCTAATACGTATTTAGGAACAAGAACAATTTTCAAAGACCAAGTGGCAACAACCTTTCCTCTTGAAAAATCTCATTTGGATGAAATTTTCCGTGATGATTTAGAATTGCGAGAAATGACATGGAACGTTGTCGGAGTAATCGTCGCTGATAAGACGAACCCACAGCACAGTTTGCTTTGTATATCAAAGCGAGTTTACTGGAGACGCAAAACCGAATGTATTGAAGAAAAAGTTGCATAAAATAAGAAATTGGTATATTCTTGGTTGGTCGATTAACGACTGGACTTTTTTTTTTTTTTGTTTTATTTTATTTTATATGATATCTATCTGACATATATTAGAAAATATTATCGCTTATTTAGTAAGATATGTAACTAAGGTTCTCTAATATACGTCAGATGCCCTAAAAAAAACCTTTTGAACCTAAAAGCTTTTTTCTTTTTATGAACAGATACTCTCGGAAATTTATATTTCATAATTATAATTATTTTGACAAATAATTATAATATTTTTTTTTTGGTTTTTTTTTTTAAAAAAAAAAAAATAGATAATATGTAAAAAATTTTTATTAGAAATAAACTCAATACCATTAAACATTAACACTAAGTATAACTTTACCAACAGTGTTACCAGATTGAAGTAAGGTTAAAGCTTCTACAAGTTGATCAAATTCAAATTCATGGCCAACATGAGGAGCTTCCAGTTGTAAAGATTGCATATCATTAAAAATCTGATTTAATCTCTCAGCTCGTTCATAAATATGAATTAAATTAAATCCAAGAAGCTACGAAATAGAACGATCAAGTGTTTAAAAAGTGTATGTATGTTCAAATAACTACTTTCAAATTATAGCTTACCGACTTATTTCCTTGTAAAATTTCCATTGGATCAATTTTAGGTCTCCAAATATATTTCCAACCTAATTTTAACCATTCAAACATATTCCAGATAGGGTGTAAATTACCAATAGGTGTAAAACTAGCGGAACCAAATAAAACCAGTTTGCCTTCTTTAGCTAGCAGATTATAATTAGACCAAAACCATTTACCCATAACACTATCCAAGATAATATCATAACCATCTTGTTCTTGTAATCCCATCCGTAATAAAGCTTGCCTTGCTCTCTTTTCAAAATCATTTGAGGGCTCACGCAATATAAATGTAAAGTTTTCATTATCTCCATATTTTTGGTTAAGTATATTAAGTTTAGAAGGGTTGCCTATTGTACCCACAACTTTAACATTTTCATATTTTGAACATATTGAAAGTGCTAATAATCCACATCCTCCTGCCGCTGAATGAACCAACACTGTTTTATTCTCTTTAATTCTACCTAATTCTGTCAGAGCATAAAATGAAGTCATTGCTTGGACCTTGAAAATTTTTTTATTATTAATTTATTTATTTTTTTTTAAAAAAAAATAATTATTAAAAATTCTTTTTAATAATCATATATTTAACATTAAATTCTTTTAATTAATTACCACATAAGCAGCGGCCTGTTGATCGGTCCAATTATCAGGAGTTTGCTTAACATATTCTTCTTCAATATTTAAATAAGTGACATACCCACCAAACCTTGTAGCACCATATACTCTTTTGCCTAACCATTCACTTTCTTCAATACCATCTCCTACACTTTCAACTATACCACTAAATTCTAATCCTGGTATAAATTTTCCTTTAGGTGTAGCAGAATAAAGGCCAAATATTGCAAAAATATCAGCAAAATTTAATCCTATACTTTTGACTTGAACCCTTAAATGCTTTGGCGGCGGTGGTGGTAATATATCATCTTCTAATATTAAATTTGCAAATGTACCTTTAGTAGAGATTGACCAAACCTTCCTAGCTTGTGAAGTCATTCTTCAAAGTGAAAAAAAAAAATTTAGCAAGTTGAAGCGAATTAATTCAAAAAAATTTTGGACATCATATCATGTGGACATTATAAGGTTCATGTGATATTTACAAATTCTTAATTTCGGTTAGAATTACAAACCGAGAGGAATTACGGTATTTACAAAAACTTTATATTATAAATATTACCATTAGATTGCTACTATAAATTTTTAAATTATCTGATATGTCTTCTAAATTATTAAACTAATCTTTATCTTTAGTCTCAAAAAAAAAAAAAAAAATCAAAATGTTTGATATAAAAAGTGAATATTATACAGCAAGTTAATTTAAATAAAAAAAAATGTTTATTGATCCTAAAAGTTATTACTATTTTTAATATATATAAATTAAATGGTAATAAAAGATTAACAATTTTTAATATTATTTAATAGTTTTTTATTTTAAATATATTTTATCATATATTAATAAAATATAAAGAAATTGAAAAATATAATTAGTAATCATTAAAAAAAAATCATTAAATTAATAGAAATTATTTACTTATAAAAATGAATTAAAACAGGTAAAACTTTTATAAAATAGTTTAAAATTTATATAATAATAGATAAAATAAACAAAAGATAATAATATGATTTTTTTAATATTTTAACTGATTTTTCTTAAGCAAATAAAAATACTAAACTATTATAAAAGAAAATTCAGGTAAGAAAAAATGAAAATAAATATTTAATTAAATAATTATATAATAAATTTTATATAAGAAATATTAAATAAGATTTAGATATAAAAATCATTAAATAATTTCTATAATTAACTAGAAAATGGTTTCAGAAATTATTGTTAAGTTCAGAATAATCTTAATTAAAAAATATTGTAAAAATCAATCAGTATTGATTCAATTATTGAGTGAACAGATAACAAAATACCTTGTATAATATATAGCTAATATATAAAAGTCCTTCATTTCACTCTAGACTAATTATATTATATTTAAAGAAATTTAGATAATAAAAATCCTTTTATTAATTTTATAATTAAAAATAAATTAAATATTATATATCTATAATTATTTTAATAAAAATTAATTTATGCTTTTATTTTAAAAACTTATTTTAATATCTAAAGATTAAATTAAAAATAAATAATTTTAAATTTAAAAATTATAATTATTATATAAAAATATTTAATATATTAAAATATAGTTTATTTATTAATAAAATTTTAAATATTTTATATTATACTAAACTTATATTTTATTTAATAAAATATACTTATAATAAAAATTTTATTTAATATTATTTTTTCATATATATTAATGTAATATAATTTATATTAACATTTTTGATTAATTGCTAATTATATTAGATATTTATTTAAATTTAAAACTTTATAGAAATATAATACAGTCTGGGATTTTACCAAATTTGATAGGATGAACATTTTCTTTTATGGTAAAGAAAATGCAGATCAGAATATTCTAATACACTTCTAAATATAGAAATCTAAAATTATAAATACATTTAGCCAGA